GTCTCACGACGTGAGACATAGAGGCTCATGACGTGAGAACTAATGCAGCCCAAGCCCATGATATTTTAGGGTTTCCATCATATTTAATAACATCTAAACCCATTTTTGGGTTCATTATCATCCTCCAAACCCTCTTTCACCTCAGAAAACCCTAGCTTTCATCCCTTGGTTGATTCTTGGCCATTTTGGAGCATTTCTTAGTTTGAAGGAGAAGAAGAAGAAGGTGATCTTTTGAATAGGCTTGCAAGGAATCATCATCACCATCACCTTACACTGCTTTTGGACCCTTGTAAGTGTCAAAGCATCCACTTTTATTGTTATTTGTGGCCAGATCTAAGTTTTGTCCCACTTTTCTTCTTAGTTGAGCAAGTTTGAATGAATGGAAACCATAAATTTGGCAACTTTATGGTTTATAAGGGTCTTTAGAGTGCATGAAGTTCGGATCTGGTGAATGGTTGGGGCTTTAGAACCTTGCATGAAAGTTAGATGACATTTTCTTCAATTTTGACCCCAAATGAGATCTAGACATGTATTGGACATACATGCCCATAAAGCATCGACTTTTAATTGTGTTAGGGAGTAATAAGACCTTCTAGAAAGTTAGAGTTCAAATATTAATGGATTAAGGACCTAAGTTGATGGATTTTTTTTACTTTAGACTGTGCATACGACGTGAGACATAGGGTCTCACGATGTGAAGATTGAATGATCTCGTTTCTTCCGTGTAACGTCACAAAAATCAAAGTAAAATTTTTTATTTTTAAAACACGATCCACAAACCCAAAAGTTACAAAAACATTTTTTACAAATCATAATAAGTCAAAACATCGAATCAAAGTATATGTTGGATAAGATGTCTAAGTCCATAACTATATTTAGTATGTACTTGACTCGATTTAGCATGATCCATTTGGGTTGCACTTCACCGGAACAATTTAGACTTTTAATATATTATTAGTTATAATATATTAATATAAAATCATTTTATTTAATTGGTATTGATCAATAATTAATTTGAAATTAATTTTATGGTCAAAAGAGACTAATTAAATATATAGGGATTGATTGTGTAAATCATTCATTCTTATAATGTGGGCTAATGATCCATGATTCCTTATGTTGGGCTTAACCCATGTGGTGACCCATAGATGCTCCATGGAGGTTAAAACCCATGGATCATGAATAATGTGGAAAGTCATGAGTTACATGGTGTAACCCTAATGAGCACACTATATAAGAAGCCCTTTGGTTCAAGAAAATGGCACCCTCAGAGTATACACAAGAGAGTGGCCATTTTTTGAGCTAGAGAGAGTCCTCTTCCAAGTTCCAAAGTGTTAGTGGTGATTTATGATTCCACTTGAGGCATTCACATTATTGGTGTTAAGTTCTTAAAGCTCCAAGCAATAAGCCACAATAAAAGGTATGTTTCCTAACTTATTTTATTTACTATGTATCAAAGTTTGTATGCTAGTTAGGGTAATACATTAGAGACTTCAAGTTAGCATGTATAATAGTGAAAACATAGATCTAATGTATTTAGGGTTGCATGAACATCTTAGGAGTGTTAGAATGCTCGAAACCCTTCAGTGGTATCAAAGCCTAGGCTTGCTTTCAATTATACTTGATGATATATTCTTGGAAATGCTTTAAAAGTCGAAAATATGCTGTCTAGACAGTGGACTCGCCGATTCCACTGGGAGACTCGCCGAGTCCCTTCACAAAACAGCTCTAATCACCAAGTTTGTTCATTCACTCGATGAGTTGGAGCCCCTGAATGTAGTTTTTCAAGTTTTTAAGCTAGAATTGGACTAGGATTATTACCATAAACTGTTTTTGAACTTATAAACTTGTTTTTGATGTGATAATGATCATGCTTATCCAATTTAAAAGGTGATTGTCAAAATTTCATGCTTTGTTTTAGTTTATATGATTAGTCTAAATTACATGGAATTTGCTTGATTTGAATTACCTTGATCATATGAGTTTAATCTAGAACTTGAACATTCTTGTTAGTTGAATAGTTGTTTTTGATGATTTTAATGGACTCTATAACTTGTCATCAAGTTATGGAATTTCAAAAGTTTTCATTTAAATGGATCAATAAAAGTCATAGGTTAGAAAAATGAAGAGTCTTATTTTTAAAAACCATTAAATTCATATGTTGTGAAGTTGAAGGGTTTTGAAAAGTTTCAAAACTTTCCCTCAAGGTTTGGAATTTGTATAATCACACATTAACACTTTAATTCCAAACCCTAGAGTTTTAAAAGTTTAAAATTCTACCCTTATACTATTATAATATTATAAGTTTAAGGGGGAGGGGTATAAGGTTACTATCTATAAAATGATGGTTTAATGGGTGTCCACTCTCACCCACCGCTTCCTTGATTGGTGGAGGGTCGTTAGCCGAACGGGTAGGATAGAACATTAATTCTCATTAAGTATAATGATAATTATAAAGTAACTAAATATTTTATAAATTCCCAATCTTAGTTACTTTAGGAAAATGTGAAATTGATGCTAACCCATAAAATTACACTTTTCACCTTACCAAGTCGTTAGTAGAGTGTGTGGTTAACCGACACACTAACATGGACTAGTAAGGGTGGCAAAGTGTGACTTAATGTTTGTCATAGATCGATGGAGCGTTTGTGCTTAACCGACACATCGATTAGGTGATAAATGACATTAAGAGTATCAAGTATATTTGTATAATTATTCACACCTTATTTGTGATCCTCGGTATCCCAGTCACAAACTTGAAGGGAACAATCAATATTTAAACATGCTATTGAAGAGTTCAATGAATCTCAAAAGAATCTAGGAATTTCAATTCATCTAAAACTTAATAATTCAATTTCTTTTTTCATGGTGGAAATTGGTAAATCGTCATTTACCTACCTTCAAATATTTGCAACTTGGATTACGACATCCCTCTTCCGATTGTAAAATATTGTGTTGGGTTATAGCCTTAATATTTCATTTTGGGTGTTATATTAAGGACTCAATATCTAATCTAAACTTTGTTTTTTCTTTTTTTTCAAATGTCTTCCAACAATGCTGCTTCGGGCTCAAACCCTATCGGCTTCTTCTTTCTCATGAACCTTTGAAGGAGAGTCATCTTTGATGGAAATAATTTCAATGATTGAATTAGGAACATAAGGATGGTCACTCGTTATGAGGACAAGGAATATATCCTCGACAAGGAGCTTAAGGTCATCGATGAGTCGTCCGCTACTCCCAAGGAGATTGCTGAGTACACTACCCATGAGAAGGATGCCACCAAGGTGTCCTGCATCATGTTGGCCACAATGACAACAAAACTCCAAAAGTCCTATGAGGACTTCTACCCTTTTGAAATGCACCAAGATCTGATGGAAAGATACCATCAGATTGTACGACAAGAGAGGTATGAAATCATCACCTCCATGATAATAACTAAAATGAAGGATGGAGAGTCCATCATGGATCATTTGCAGAAAATGCAAAGATTTGTGGACCGTCTGCTTAAGTTAAATGCGAACTTTGATGAGGAGCTTGCTATAGACATTATTCTACACTCCTTACCTCCATGTTATGATCAGTTCCGCATGACCTATCATATGAACAAGGAGGAGGTCACACTTAGCAAACTTCAGGGACTTTTGAGGACTGCTGAAAGTAGTCTCAAAGGTAAGAATGTTGTTACCACTCCTACTACTGCTCCAGTCTTGGCAATCGGGAAAAGCAAGGGAAATAAGAGGAAGACCCCTTCCAAGGGTCACAAGGGAAAGTCTTTTGATGGATCCTCTTGAAGCAAGACTAAAGTCGGTCCTGCTGCTCCCTCCTCCAACCCAAAAGAAGCAGAGTGCTTCTATTGTCATGACAAGGGGCACTGGAAGCGAAGCTGCCTAAAGTACTTGCAAGATGTTAAGGATGGGAAAGTAAAACCCACCCATGCAGGTATTTACACTATATTGTCTAATAACTCACCACATACTAATTCTTGAATCCTTGATACAGGTTGTGGTATTCACATTTGTTCTGATTTGCAAGGACTAAAAAGAAGTGAGAATGTGGAGCACGGGAAGATAAACTTAATCATGGGGAATAGGAAAGCTTCACCTATCACCAAGATTGAAGTTTATTCTTTATTGCTTTGTAATGGGTTAGAGTTAGATTTGAATAATCGTTGTTACTCGTATGAAATGGCGAGAAATATTATTTCTTTTCATGGTTTGTACAAAAAAGGTTTCATATTTTCATTTTATAATGAAATTGATGCACTAAATGCTTATTATAATGATATTTTTTATTTTAGAGTATTACCTTGTAATGGTGTATATGAAATGTGATGGTTGTAAACAATTTAGGAAATAATGTATTGCATACTGATTCTTCCACTAGTTTGGACAAGACATCCTTATGGTATTGTCGTCTTGGACATGTCAACAAGAAGCACATAGGCCAACTCCAAAAGGTTGGAGTCTTGGAATCATTTGACTTAAAGTCAGATGATAGTTGCGAATTTTGTTTACTTGGAAAAATGACTAAATCATACTTCACTGGCACTTGTGAGAGGGGTGAAAGTATGTTGGACCTCATACACACTGATGTGTGTGGACCTTTCAGAACCACCACAAAGAATGCTAACCGTTTTTTATGTGACTTTTAATGATGATTATAGTAGATATGGCTATGAGAAGTCAATTCAACGTCTTAATTTACTTAGATTTTGAGTCGAATGGATTTTAAATATATTACGACTTAGGATTTTTAAAAAGCACATATGAAACAATAAAATGGTCATAACTTAGTATCCTCAACGATTTACTTAATGGTGTTGGTTTCGGAAGAAAAAAAAGGTGCAAGGCTAGGACATCCCTCATTGAAAAGGAAGCAAGTTACAACTTTAAACATGTGTCCAAACATAACTTTTTATATTTTTACAAATAAAATGGGTATCATGTTTTAATGACCACAAACAAAATATACGTTAACATCACATACATCTAAACCATAAGGTCTCAACAAACCAAAAAACAAGAATCCAAACAAACATAGCGATTAATCAATGATAGCAACACGCCAATAACGCGTCTCTATAGTCTAATATGCCCAAACTTGGATGAAATAGTCATGATCCAACCAAATGGAGGGGGTGAAATGCAAGTTTCAAACTTTTCAAGGGGCCTAAGTTGAACATGTTTGATATTTTATATTTGTCCTTATCCATGGAAAAAGAAAAATCTTTGCTTGGAAGGACATGTTTGAATTGAAAGCGACATGGAACGAAGTGGCGAACACCTTCTCTCTGGCCTCTGTGCAGCCCATATGTTGATATTAATGACGATTACATAAGACAGCAAAGCTTCCAAGGAGTGGTGGATGGGTTATGGGGGACTGCAAGTCAACATGAACGTATTCGCTTTGAGTCATCTTCAATCTTTTACACAAGGATCCTTCTTCCTCTTTTCCTACCTGCCGCCATATTAGCAAACGTGAAACAAAACCCTTCTTTCTTTTTGAATCTTCCCCCGATTTAAGTTCGTAAACCGGGGAATTGGGTAATTGATTTTCTGCTCGGTTTCAATGGGTAATTGCTTGAATTCTTCATCAGCTCAAGTAGATACCACTCTCAGCTCCCATGCTTCGGGTAATTTCATCAATGAATTATACGCTATTTGATAGATCGTTGCTAGTTTTTCATGAATTATTTCTTAATTTGCATAATCGCTACTCCATAACAATGCATCGCCAGTGCAGTGATTGATATCATGTTTGAATTGGGAATTTGGGATATAATTAGTTCAAACTACGAACAAATTTTCTCCTAAAATTCGAGATCCAGTAAATTAATTCATATGTTCACTGGGTTTTTATCTTCTCGAGCCTATGATTTCGTTTATGAATTTAAGATTCCTGTTGCCTAGTTTTTAACCACGAGTACAGTTCCCCTTTTTCTTGCGATTTGAAGAACATATAATAGCACTTGTTTTTCCATCCATATCAATACAATTGCTCATTTCTGCAAATCATAGCGTTCCTTTTGCCATTTCCACATGAACAATGGTTAACTTGACGTCCTTATCCTCAGGAACCTCAAAAAATGTGAGTAAAAGTTCGTACTCTGGTCCTTCAAGCCTGACCATTTCATCTTACAGTGAGATGAGCAGTGCCTCAAGTCTTCAAACCCCAAGAACCGAAGGTGAAATACTATTATCACCAAGTGTAAAACCCTTCTCCTTCATTGAATTAAAGAACGCCACTAGAAACTTCCGCCCAGACAGTGTTCTTGGTGAAGGAGGATTTGGTTGCGTTTTCAAAGGTTGGATCGATGAATTCACTCTTACTGCTTCAAAACCCGGATCTGGAATGATCATTGCTGTCAAAAAACTTAAACCAGAGGGTTTTCAAGGACATAAAGAGTGGCTCGTATGTTCCATTTTATGGGTCTTTTCTTCTTGTCTTCTTGATTTCTTTTCCTAAAGTTTATGCTTTGATTTTTTCAGACAGAAGTGAAGTATCTAGGGCAATTACGTCATCCAAATTTGGTTAAACTTGTTGGGTATTGCTCAGAGGGCGATAGTAGGCTCTTGGTTTATGAATTCATGCCTAAAGGAAGCTTGGAGAATCATCTTTTTAGACGTATGTTTTACCATTTTGATTCACTCAGTGGTTTGAGGTTTAATTTAACCTTTTTTGAAATTTACAGGAGGCCCTCAACCACTTCCATGGGCAACAAGGCTCAAAGTAGCAATAGGAGCTGCAAGAGGCCTTGCTTTTCTTCATGATGCTGAAGAACAAGTTATATATCGTGATTTCAAGGCTTCTAATATCCTACTTGATGCGGTATAATGACATTAAACTTATATTATAATAACTTTTTTTTCAAGTTTTAAAGATTTTCATGACACTCAAATTTCTAATATAATGCAGGAATTCAATGCAAAACTATCCGATTTTGGTTTGGCTAAAGCAGGTCCAACTGGTGATAAGACTCATGTTTCAACTCAAGTCATGGGCACTCAAGGGTATGCAGCACCAGAATACATTGCCACAGGTCTGTATCTCAAATTACTTATTTACCCTTTTTACCATAATCAATAATATACTTTATCTTTAGGAAAACACATCAAGATTGTGAAGTTTACTTGAAAAAATCCATTAATCTCTTGATATCAAAGTCATTTTTGTTTTTTGTTTTTTATATAAACAGGAAGATTAACAGCAAAAAGTGATGTATACAGCTTTGGGGTTGTTTTATTAGACTATTATCTGGAAGACGTGCTCTTGATAAACAAAAAACGGGTATAGAACAAGATCTTGTTGAATGGGCAAAACCATATTTAGGGGGACAAAAGAAAGTTATTTAGGATTATGGACACTAAATTGGAAGGACAATACCCTCAAAAAGCTGCTTACACTGCTGCAACTCTTGCTTCACAATGTCTTAACTTAGAGCCTAAAACAAGACCACGAATGTCTCAAGTTTTGAGTAGTTTAGAAGAGCTACAAGCCTCAAAAGGTGCTTCAAAAGATCATCATAAAATTGTGTCTAGTCCCGTTGGGAAATCACCAATGAGACAAGTGCCACATCATCGCCAAAGTCCACGTAATTTGACACCTTTAGCATCTCCATTGCCACATCATCGCCAAAGTTTACATGTAAGATGATGTGAAAAAGACTAAATCTTTGTTGTTTGTATGTATTATGTATAGTATGTGTTTCTTGATTTCTTCCTTTTTGTTTATATTAGGATTTTGCGTATAGTGGTATGATAAATGAATATGACAAGAAAACTATTATCTTAAGGCGCTCTTTCTTTCTGTTTTTGTTTCCATTAAGTGATGTGTGGATAAATGATGTTTATGCATTGAGTAAAATAGAAACATCTATATATAGTTTACCGGATTAAGTATATATTATCGTAGAGTTTACAAGATTTGATTAAATTCCTTTTTTCCCATATGGAAAGAAAAAGTAAATGAGGCAAATTTGTAAAAAGTTGTGACTTTATTGAGTCAAAGACTCATTTCTATGGCTCTATTAAGTTATTTTTTCCACATTAAGTCAAAAAAAACACCCATAGGTTACCAAATGTCACCATTAAGTAAAAAAGAAACATACCCAACTCTTCCTAATCTTTGCAGCATTATATATTCTCATAAATTTTACAAAATAGTATGGTATTGTTTTGTAAGTACATTTCCATTGCCGAAATTATGATTCCATCTATCCATATTTCGTTCTAGCCGATCTAAACTATGCAAAACTTGCGTCATTGTTGGACGTTTTCTTGGATCTTCACTAAGGCATTGTTGAATAATGGTAGCAAACTCATTAACTTCTTCAACATCCAAATTCTTTACTATCCTTTTATCAATCAAACAATGTAGTTCTTTCCTATCATTAAGATATGGTCTAGCCCAATGAGCAAGTTCTGTTAACTTTCCATTTGGATACCTTTTAACCGCTTTTAACCCCGAAAGGATCTCCAACAGTACAACCCCTAAGCTATAAACATCCGTTTTCAATGTCAAATGACCTGTGCCAATGTACTCTGGTGCAAAGTAGCCTTTACTTCCAAGAACCAAGGTTGAGACATGTGATTTGTCACCCTGTGGCCCGAATCTTGAGAGCCCAAAATCTGCAATCTTTGGATTGAAATCCTATAAAATAGCAATTTGGAATGAGAAGAGATTGTGAGGGATATGTGAAGAAAGTTGGAAACTTACATTATCAAGAAGAATATTGGCGGATTTAATGTCACGATGGATGACAGGTTTGTCCATGGTGTGAAGATACTCGAGACCTCGTGCTAACCCTTTAGCTATTTTGATTCTTTTTCTCCAGTTAAGTTCCACACTGCATTCTGCTTGTCCCAAACATCAAATCTTGAAATTTTGCCTAGATTTAAAGACAATATTTAGGCTGTTTTGTTACATCGGACATGACTGAATGGTAGGGTGTTCAAATCGGATATCCGAATAGATTTTGATATCCGAATCCGTATCCGAAGTTTCAGATATCTGGTTTTTAGATATTTGAAATTTCGGATTCGGATTCGAATAGTGATTCGGATATCCGCTTTTTTATTGTTTTTGTGTCAATCTAATTAAGTATTTTCCTAAAGAGCAAAACAACGTTTTTCCAAAAGCCATACGAAAATATATCTTATTCTTTTCATACATAAAGAAGTCAAACGACAAAACAATAGAGAAAACATAAGAAACAAGGGACTGTCTATGGAAGAATTGATTACTTAATGTATATATTCCAACATCATAACGTTAACTATTATGTGTTATGCAACATATGTATATTCCCTTTTACATAATGTATTAATGACAGCAATAAGCCTCCTATATCCAATCAAAATGTAGCTAATCATGACAAAAGTTGTAAAGTACATAATAAATTGTAAATATCTATTCAATAAATATCGCTATGCCAATAAAACTATATGTGAAATTGCTTTTGGTTCATTTATTAAATGGCTCTCATGCATGAATGAAGATAAATGACGTGTAGTTAATCAATTTTGATCAATATTCTTAAGTTTTACGTTATAACATAAGATCAAATGACTAATAAATAAAAATAAATGGAGTTTGATTAATATTTGGTGGCCGCTAACAATAATGAATAAAAAAAATAAAAACAGAAAAAACATAATTTTGGATTCCGGATATCCGAAAATCCAAAAATTTATAAAATGACTATCCGTATCGGATTTCCGGACCGGATATCAGACATTAGATATTTTTGAACACCCTTACTAAACGGAACTTGATTGGACTAGACTAAACGACTATGTTATACTAGACTATAATGGACACTTTTTAAGGCTATATCCAATAACAGAGTAAGGAGGCGTTCACTTCTTTTACATAGTAGAATCAATGTCCATCTTCTTCCATTTTTTTGGGTGAAAATTGTAGTTTTTGTCTCATTGACATGATCACAGTTAAATCATATCAAGAGTAGTACGTATTTTACAGTGTGTGACAAACGGAACCTTTGAGTATTCCGAACTTCTTGAAATACCAAATCTTCATATTGTGCCTAAATTTAAAGAACGTACTTTAGGGTGTGTTAGTTATATGGCTGTCAAGTAAATTTAACTTAATTGTACTTTCGACTCAATCTTTCTATGATTATTTTCAATGGTGAGAATTACGAGAAAATTCACATTTTTGAGAGGGTATATAGTCATCTTCCACCTTTTTGGGTGGGATCCAATTGAAAATTTTATTGTATACACATGACTCCCAATTACAATCCAATACACGTCAAATACATTAGAATTTTTTATGTCATGTCCTATGGAGCAAACAATAGACACAATTTTTTATGTCATGTCCTATGGAGCAAACAATAGACACACGCTTAGAGTTTTGGGAGCTTACCTCTTGAAAGATTCTCCTCCAAGCTTCCATTAGGTATGAACTCAAACACTAGCATCCTGTGCATACCTTCAGCACAATATCCCAACAGTTTCACTACATTTGGATGTTTAAAACTCCTCAGAATCTTCAATTCATTCTGAAAAATTAGTGGCGAAGGGATTTTAATGAGATTTATTTATATAAAAAAAAAAAAAATACATTTCTGGTTAAAAAAAATTCATACACTCCATTCATCTATGCCTTGAACACCTTCCTTCTTGATCCTTTTAACAGCTACAGTTAAACCATGTCCTGGTTTTGCAGAATCTTTTGTGCGATGATCTATCCACCCTTTATAAACATCACCACAACCTCCTTGTCCTGCTAGATTCTTGTCGCAAAACTTCCCTGTGGCTGCTTTTAAAACTTTGTAACAATAATGATCGAGTTTATAAGAATGAAAATTGTCGAGTTCATAGAGATTTTGTTCTCTAATGGAAGCTTTGACATGACAATTTAGATTGAGTTTGCTTATACCATTTCCCATAATGTGAAAACCAAGATCTTGTGAAGAAGGTGAAGAGGGTTTATGTACTATGTAGTAGGGTTTTTGGTTATGATTACTATGTGGATGAAGGGAACTAAGAAAATCCTTGTTTTGTAGATGATTACAAAGGTGATATGCTAGTTTTTAGAGATGTCTTGTTCTTCCTCAATGCATGGAGACTTGATTTTAGCCTTTTTCTTGGTATTTTTTCTTGGATTTGTAAGTTTCTGTTTTATTGAAAGCCTGTAATTAATTAATTAGTTGTGGGTTATGTTTTGCTAACAAATTTACGTGTGAAGTTATTTACAAATGTTAAATTTGGCTATTAAAATGTCGATAGAACATAGTTTTGTAATATTAAAGTTTAGAAATGGTGGAGAGTATGATTATTGACTTTACAAAAGAAGATGGAGCTTATTTTATAAAGTAGTAGTAGTAGTTGTCATAATCCTAACAAAAGAAATGATATTTTTGTGTCCCATTTGTGTCAACCCTATCATAATATCATTTTCCTTCCCTTTTCCCCTATACCTCCCTGCTCTTCCATATCACACCAACATAAAGTTGGTCATGTCATTATATATATATATATATATATATATATATATATATATATATATATATATATATATATATATATATATATATATATATATATATATATATATATATATATATAGTTTAGTTAGGGCATCTCCATTGGTAAGCTTATATTTTGATTCAATTTTTTTGACTTCTTATTGTTTCATAAAAATTTAACCTCCGATTAAATAACATAATTTTGATAGTATTCTTTTATGAATTTAACTAATATATTTCTATCTATCTAAAATGATTTTTTTTTCTTGAAACCTCCATCATATAATTAGTCATATAATTAATCATTTTTTAAACAATCACACGTATATATCAAATCATAGATATTAAAAAGTAGAAAAATATGCACACACACACATATATATATATATATATATATATATATATATATATATATATATATATATATATATAAAACAACACAAAACAAATTACAGTCTTACGTCACGTTTCGAAAAACATCACGATTGGTTATAGTTTGTAAAGCTTGCTACTTGACTTTATCGGCACACAACGTCTCACACAATTTGGAATTTTGGTAATTATATTATATTGAGTTAGGTCTGAGAATCGTATCGTGTTCGGGTTGGCGTGTTACGGGTTGGCGGGTCAAAATATATCAACACAACTACGACCCATTTAAATATACATGTCACGGGTTGGCGGGTTTGGAACATAAACCCATATATGACCCGTCAACCCATTTATTTATATAGGTTTACAGGTTGATAGGTTCGTGGATCAGATTTTGGTTCGTGGGTAAGATTCCATAAATAAAATTGATAATTAAACATGAATAAATTCTTGATGGTTGATGCAAACATATCCGAATTTTAGACACTTAACTACTTAAGTCTTAAACATCCAAATGAAAGTTAAAACAATTATAGAAACATGTTCAAACTAAACATTAATACAGACAAAGATAATATTTATAATATAATAATTATTAAATATTGATATTTGATACATAAAAACATTTAAAAATAAAATATACATCTTTTTTACTAAAAATGTAAACGGGTTGGACCAGTTTATTTTTTGAAAAACTCATATATGATCCGTTTAATAAACAGATTAACAGGTTGGCGGGTTGAAAAACTCAACCCAAACCCATTTTTTTCGTGTCGTGTTGCGGGTCGTAACACAGATCGTGTCGAGAATTATCAGCCTTATATGGAATGATTATAATTAATCAATGAACTATAAATAATAGGGTGCACAAGTTTAGTTTGTGGTGGTTGAAATTACAATAAGTAGATTTTCAATTGTTCGAATGATTATTGGATTCTGATTTTTTTTAAAGATATTAACATACAAAAAAAAGCTGATATTACTAGTGAGAAATGATATGACTTGTGAAATAAGAAAAAGTGTTTTTTTTTTTTTCAAATTAAGCTAAAAGAATGGGCAAAAGGCAGTTATATTTTATTTTTTATTATAAAGTATGTTAAAGTCTTGATTATCATTGGTTTGATGTTTTTTTTCAAGTTAAGTTAGTAGGGATGTAAGCTCATTCGTACACAATAATTTATTTTTATATATACTAACTGGTGTTTTAAAATATTATACAACTATATAATGCATAAATTGTTGTGTATAAAAATAAATTATTATATACGAATCACTTCGAAATAGGTAAAATCATAAACAAATAATAATATATTCCACTTTTTATTATAAATTATGTTAAAACATGTATCAATTATCAAATTGATTTGTGACATTTCTTTGGAAACGGGAGAAAAATCGTTTTGATAGTCAAAATGGTTCCTAATTGGACCGTATAAAATTCATTCTTCTTAATTGAAATTTTGATTATGCCCAACCCACACGAAATTCAATATAAAGTATTCTACCAAAGATATTTTTAAATTTATGCTTTGGAAAGCAACATACTTTGTAAAAATTCTTTATGCATCTTATAAGTATTTTATGACATGCCATTTTGAATCATAATAATAACGATAATAATGTTTTTCGAAAATTAAAATAAGTTATATTCATCAAACTAACAAACCAACTTGATCCAAACTGATAAATTGACAAACCAAATTGATCAACTCAGTCCCAAAATCGAACTTTACCAACCAAAATTACTAAATTGACTCCAAATTGAGTTAATTTCTCCAATTTTTAATAATATATCACTTATGAAGATTCTTTTTCAAGTACTTTTAGTTCGAAATTTTGTTTGGGTTTCCCCCGCCATTCGTTGCAAGCAAATCAAACTCGTATGTGTAAGTATGCATTCCATGTCATTTGATCTGTATCAAATCCTTTTTAAAACTCTATATAAATTTTAATTACATTAAATGATCAACTAGTACTAATATCACCGACACTTTACACAGAAGAGTTTATTTACTATAACATTAAAGTTCGTTATTTTTCACTATAATCAGTTCAAAATGGACATTTCAGAAAACTCACGTTGATGATTATAACACATATATAGTTCTAAAACTACAAGGGATGAATGTGTAAGTTAGTTTAAGTATATGGGTGTTAAGTGAAAGATAAGATGTTAAAAATCACCTTGCGTGTCGAATCGAATGATGAGACCGACCTAAAATAGAAAGGAACTCTGCTGTCACTCGGCCCCCACACAACATAACCAGTTAACCACCGACTTATCTTGTTCATCTCCCATTTCGAGATTCAGCATAAAAAGGAAAACAAAAACCAAAAATAACCCAAGAAAATAATTTCGAAAGAAGTTTTATATACATTTGTGCTTGTATACATATATTTTCTTGCTCCATGTCAGGTTTTATTTACTTCATCTAGTGTTTATTATATGAAAAAGTTACAAAACAATCAAGGGTTAGTCTCATACTCAACTTTTGTGTTTCCATATATATATATATATATTATAATATATATATATATATATATATATATATATATATATATATATATATATATATATATATATATATACTTTAAAATATCTAACTTTTTATTTTATTTTATTTTATAGGGTTAAAAATGGCAGGTTTTAAAAAAAAATTCGTTTAAAAAAAGATTTATTGGTTTTTAATTTATTTTTAGTGATTTTATAAAAAAAATAGCGATTTTATGTTGTAAATTAATAAAAAAGTAGATATTTCAAAGTATATTTTATACAGTTTTAGCGTTTTTAGAGGGTTTTTTAAGTTTATGCCTCTTTTATATATAATATATATATATATATATATATATATATATATATATATATATATATATATATATATATATATATATATATATATATATATATATATATATATATATATATATAGACACACACACATACTACGCATCAAACCGCATAAAGCGACGACGATAAATAACTCTTACGGTGAATAGTTTTTTACCGGAAATTAATTATTAAATTTTATCATTAGTTATTAGTTAATAAAAATTTACCACTTAGATATTAAATATTTATGTTTACACATTATATTTATATTGTCTGCTTATAGTATTGCTGTAAATTAATTAATATTTATATATAGTTAAAGAAATATAAATTAATTTATATAAATCAATTTAATATTTTAAAATTTTCATTTTGTTCTAAATTGAATATATTAACAACCTTCTTTAATTCAAAATATTACTAACATGTTTTATTATATACTAGCAGTGTACCCGTGCAAAGCGGCGGGGCGTGTAAATTCTTTCGGTGATATGTTTCCTCTACAAAAATGTTATTTTACAAAAGAAAGTACATGTCGAAGACAAAATAATCAAACTATGGTGTTATTTGGGAGATGAAGTCATTTTTTGTTCCTGGACGGTGGGCTTTATAGCAGAGGAGGGAACAAAGAGGTATATGCGATTGGAGGGACATTTGAATCAACATGCTAAATTTAAGGATATCTAAAAGGGTTCAAAATTTGAATGAATCCGGGATTTGAGGGAACCATATCAAATTGTTGAGAAATATAAGGAGATTTGATGATAAATATTTGAATTCAAAATGTGGTTAAAATTTAATATTATTTTATTAATGGTTACTTGTACTATCAGCTTCATCATTTGGACGTGTTAAAAAAATAATATTATTATAATCAATCTATTTTTAGAAATAGTTAGATTTCTTTTATAAGATAGTAAATATATATATATATATATATATATATATATATATATATATATATATATATATATATATATATATATAAATAAAGTTTATTTAGTTTTATTCTTTAATGAATAAAATCCATTATGTACTCTCTCCCCGTTAAGCGAAAATAACCATACTAAGACGCTTTAGAACATAAATGATCCAACCATAATTTCATAAAAAATTTATGACACATGAATGATCACATTTATTTGCAAAACCTGAATATATATATATATATATATATATATATATATATATATATATATATATATATATATATATATAT